GGGGGGGGGGGGGGGGGGGGAAGATTATCGTGGATTATCAGAAAGGTCTCACAGAAAAGAGCAAATTGATTAGGAGATGTTTGAGGGGGATCTAAGAATACGCAAAGCTGATTATGGGATGATTAGAGGCATGATCAAACTCGGTAAAAGGGAAAGGTCAGGAATGGACCTGGGAGAAACAGCCGTGGGAAGGGAGAGCGAGGGGTCCTGAGCACAACCTGGTAGTGTAGTGCGAGCCAGGATTCGTGCCGGAGACGGAATAAAACCCTCAGGGTTAGGAACTCATCGCTGGCCCTGAGGATCGATTTATACCCGCGACTGCTCCTGCGGACCCAGGGGCGAGCTCTGGCAAATGCACACGCAATGTACTGGAGACATGCACAGCTGCCTCCAAGACCTGTCTTCCTCTTACAGAATGAAAGAGGAGAAAACAGAATACAGTTTGCACTACTTCTTTGTTGTTCGAGCAATTTTAGTTCAGCCTTTACTATAAATGGAACTACGTTATTTTTTTATAAAGTATTCTGACCTCCTTGGTTTTGACACCTTTCCTTTAATTTCCCAGATGTTTTCCCCTTATCAGTATCAGTAGGAGAAAGCAACAACCAGGTTGACTTTAGAATCTCCCAGAATTTTAGCTACTAGAGGACTTTGCACGGATGCAGACATTTTTGGTGATTTCCTCTTACCATCTTCTGACTTTGAAAGAGAATCGAATCTAAAATGCTAACTTACATCAAAGGCCAGGTCAGCTTTTTCTTCCTTTCCTCCTTCCAGGGACGTGCCCACCTCTCAAGTTGTTATTATTATCACCAACACAGAATCCTGATGTAACCTAATGTTTGGCACCCAGCAGGAAACAGACACAAACTGAGAAGAGCTTCCACAGACACTTCTTATCCAGAGTGCAGTTGCCCAGTGATTGTTATGCCTCTCATTTCAGAAGGGAAACGGTGTCCTTCAGCTTCAAGTGTAGAAGGGTGCAAGAGGAACAGTGATCCCTTAACGGAGCTCTTGGCTATAATCATATATTCGCACATCAGAAGACGCTGCTCTTAGACTGAAGTTCTTATTCTTCCAGATTTTAGAGAAATGCGAAATAAAGAGGGTCACTTACCGTGCACCACTGGATAGCTAATGCTGGTGTTTTCTGCTGGATCACAACAATAACATAGATGTGTATTAGTGGAAAAAAAAAAGAAAAAGTATGCATACTGAAAGATGAAGGCACACTGTGTTTTAAGACAGACTAAGAAACTATAGTCACACTAAGAATGTAATTTGCATAAATGTGTCAGTGTCAGAGAATTCACTTATCTCCTTCAGCACATAGTGATGTTGCAGGCTTCCTCGGTTTTTGGTTTAATCATGATGTCTTTATCCTGGGAATGTAGCTTAAAATGACCAAAAACCCGTTCTCCTCTTTACTTTGGGATTTACATCTTAACGTTAGAATAGGTCCACAGCATCATGTTCTGCTCAATTCCAGGTATGTCTCCCTATTTGAGAACACAAAGTTCCTAAAAGATTCTGCCTGCACTTCTGCAGCCCGAGCAGTATCGGTTTCCAAAACGCCGTTCTTGATCTTCCAGCTGGGAATTCAGATCCTCCAAGCGAAACCTCAGAGGTCCTATGCAGGGTTTTGTTGACCCCCTGGATAAAAGCTTCTTCCCCACCCCTGGAGCCACTGCCCACCCACTCCGAGAACACCCTGCGGATAGCGTGGCTGGGGAGGAGCAGCTGCCTGCAGATCGAAAGCACGGATGCTTCCCCGAGTCTCGGTAGTTTCCATGCCCGAGCACAAAGAGGGAGCCACGTTCCGGTGCTCTCATTCCCAGCCGGCTCCCAGGACGGATTTCTTCTCTCACTTCTAGCACTCGGGCAGCGCCGCAATTCCCAGCTCTCCCGCAGAACCGCTGCCCTGAGCTCCCAGCTGGAATCAGACGTGAAGGTCGGGAGAATCGTTCCCAACCTTCTGGCTTTCCGTTATACTGTAAATATCACTGGTACATGTCCTGTTTGTGGTTCATCTTCCGACTAACCGGCTTCCTCTCTCTGTATTCAGTCCAGGTAATGCTTTCCCTATCATTCTGTTAAATGTAAACACTTCTTCCTTGCGGTATTAAGTCGGTGCTTACCGACCAACGGCCTCTGCCTGAGTCACCCCAGATCTGCAGCGAAATCCTCCCAAATCCCCCAGGGGTGGATCTGGGACACGTCTCCCTCCTTCACACTCCCCGTTCTGTCTTGTGTTCTTGGCATTTCCAGAGGGTTCTCGATGCGGCAATTCCCAGCATATCCCTTGGAAAGGCGTATTCCAGTGCAACCGAGACATTTCGGCTGGACTTTCAGCTATGTCAGCCATGTAGCATCTGACTGGTGCTCATTGGTCTCTCCCTGCTTGGGAGCTCCCCGCCGAGCAGCATCAGTACACGCATAGCGCTGGTCAACAGCGGCACTGGGCGTCCAACGCAGGAACTGCACATGGGCGTCTGCCCTCGAGCCTCAGCACCCATCTCCTCCGTTAGGTTCTGCCTATGGCTAGGGCGAATTATGAAACACATTTCCCACCTGAAGTCTTTAGCAAATAAAGTAACTTTCTTAGTACCTATTGAGACATCTGGTTTGGCACTAATAATCCGGGCAAGTATGGAAAATCTAGAAGATGTCCTATGCAAACCTAACAAATGTGCTTAATAAAGATGCAAGCTATGGGCAAACAGCAAGCATTGCTCATGTGTTGTTCGCTGTATCTTCCAGAAGTCAGAGAGATAATCGAGGCGTTTTCAAGCACAGGCTGGTTGCAGGAAGCTCAGAGATTTGAATATTTTCTGTTTCACAAAGAGATTCTCTACTGTTGTATGTCTTCTCCTAGAGTAAGCTGAAGTTAAGAAACAATTCAGTGTTAATAGCAGCACGAACCTCCACTGCTCCTTGGATTGGCTGAAACGGATCTTCAAAAAATATCTTAGAGAAGAGAGTGCAGATATTGCTTTGCAGACAGATCTCAGATCACCTCTTGGTTCAGTGACTCCTTTATTGTCAGGACTCTGGTGTTTTAATTGAGGCAGAAATGTTGCTTGTTCTCCTCAGACACAACCAGAGCCACCTTTCTTCCTAGATAGCAGTACTTCCTTTCTAATAACAGCTCTTTGTGAGGCTATTTGCTCCAAAATCTCCTCTCTATACCTTCCAACTTCGAAGAATAAAGGGAAATTCCCTGCTTCAAAAGTCTGAGTTCATATACCTTCTCAGAGACAGTCTCCAAAGATAATGTTGGACAGAAGATACCTACCAGACATCTACCCAGACCTTTTCCATCCTACATCTTTTGAAGGCAATTAATTCTTCTCTCTTCTCTCTAGCTATGACAATCTCAGTACTCCTTGTTTGAAAATAAATCCTCCCAGCTTCCACACTTTGCTACTACAAACGGCTCTTGAAGTCAAGTAATTATTCTCATCTTTGTAAAATTTCTGTTTAGTGGGATCCAATCTTTCCATCCTCAATCTCACTCCTAGGTCAAATTTTCTTCATCAGTCCCTATAATCATGTGTTTTCTTATGTCCTGAGGTCTCAAATGGCAAATAAATATTACTTTGATTTTTAGCTCTAAGTTGATGTATTTTGTGGGGAAAAATATTATCTATTGAGATTTTTTTTCATGTTCTTGTGTCCAATGACTCCTTCAACAGTTTCATGCAGTGGCTGTTTCAGTTGACTTGGAGGATACAAATTCAAATAGAAAGTTACATGATGAACAATCAAGCAGCACAAGGTTGTTAAGCAATTCGAGTCCACTGTGTGAAT